GGTATTGCAAAAATAATGCATCTGGGATAAACATTTAGAATTTTGAAAAAACTATTGGATGAATCGGTCTGAAATTTTAATCACATTTTAAGGACTATAAAAGCCAACTATTTGTGCAATATCAAAGACGTACGATGACTTTTGCAAAACTTATTGTTTATTTAGCAACAAATTATCGTATCGGATTTTAAAAACCGCCATTTTAAAGGATTTTTTATTCCCTACAAGTTGGCTATTTTCACATTATAATAAAAATTATTGGTTTTTTTTTCTGGTAGGCAAAAAAGTTATATTTTGGGTTATTTTAGTCCTTTTATTGTTAATTATTAAAAAACCTCACCTGATTGTGTGTGGGTTTTGCACATATTATACTAAAATTCACCGAAATTTTATGAAAAACTTTACAGATCCTTGGCTACTCAACAGTCACGGCATTTTCCTCATATCCCTGGGCTAAACGTACAGGTTATATTTTTGAAAAAAAAAATCTAGAAAACTATAGTCTCGACCGCTAGTCGCTAGTATACTAGTCTCGAATAAAAATTATTTGTTCATTAATCATTATTGATGTAATACTGTACTTACTATTCTCTGAATTATCTCTCTCTCTCTCTAAATTCTGTAGAAGTCCTATATCTAAAAAGAGTAAATTTATGCATTTTTACCTATTTAAAACTATTTAATACTATTTTACAGATTTTGGTGTCTTTCTTTCCAGATTAATTTAAGTGATTTAGCACGTTTTGACTTTTTAGTTTTTCCTAAGCTTTTCGGCATTGCGAAATAAACACACAATAAATAATAAACACAGTCAATATAGTTCACAACACAAAGGTCACTAATAATAATAATAACTAGGTAATATATAATAATAACTAATTAAGAAAAAAAGTAATCAGTATAATACACACACTAGAATAATATTTACAATGTCAAACGACGCAGGACACATCAATATCATAAATGAAATAAAAATGAAATAACCAAACTTCATAAAAACACGGTTCCCGTTTTTTGTGCAAATTGTATGGCGTTTTTTTAAACTTCTTATTGCCGATGCCATGCCGTGTACGAGGACATCTATAATGACATGTTTGCATTATTTAATGTATGCTAATCAGTACCATCTACTGGCGAATGGCTAGATTTTATTAATGGAGAGTTACCGACGAGTAGATTCTCGTCTGAAAATTGGGTTCTCAAATTTATGCAAGAAATTAGGAAAAGGGCATCCAATCGCCATCTAAGAAGTGTTACGACTTTAGCTCTCGTAATCCTGCTCTTAATCAAGCTGCATTAGATAGTTTCAAACACAAAACATGTTTCAAATATCCTTACTGCCATCTATCGTCCAAAAACTGCACTAAACTGCGTAAGAATTCTTTAGCAGGTAGGCAACTGTAACTGTTTCACATACGCTGGAAAATTAATTGAACGTTTATTGAATAGATGGCGCCACCATATTAATCCACAGCAATTTTCAATTTTGATCGAGACTTTTTAATGTGCGTGGTACCTGATTGAAATTTAGTACACACCCTGTTTAAAAGCTAAATACAATTCTGAAAAAGTAGAAAATGTCATTTCCACCTTCCACCGCTGCCAAAATCCTTGTAAGTCTGTAGGTTTTTAACAATTTTTCAAACACCTCTGAAAGAGCAAAAAAATAATAATAATTCAAACAAATTGTTTTCTAAAAATATAACATTTTATTACACCATTGTCAGCATCAATTTCTCTGCAAATTAAAAAATATGGTAGATATCTCACTGATTTGGTTTACAAGTTTAGTTTAGCTTCTCGTACTTATTCAGCTTCAATTACCTACCTACAAATTTGTAACCGGTCTTTTCTATTTATTTACAAACTAAATAAGGCCTAATTGTCGAAATACATTTAGAAGAATTGCCAAGATAATAACTGACGCCGAAGAAGGCGTGATTCTGTCGGAAACGTTGCAAGCGTTTGAGTAGCACTGACACTGCCTCTTCTTGATGAAATCCGTGTCAGCTTTTCGGCAAAAGTCCTTCATCGTGAAGTTCCCAGTTCGGATCCATCCGCAGCTCCTGTAGATCCTGGCGCTGTCCTCCACGTTCATGACTGGAAAAAGGAAGAAATTCTAGGCTACAGTTAAGCCAATATTGAAAAGTTCTTTTTTTGTCATTAGAAGGAGTTTTCGATTTTATTAAGCGGTCTAGTTAGTTTAGAGTCGTTTGTGAATGTGCAGGATGTAATACTACCATGTGTAAAAATTAAGGGGTTTTTCTCTCTTGTTATACAGGGTAATTCACAAACGTTGACCAAAAATGAAACCTCGTATTCTTTGGTGAATTTTAAGGGGAATCTTTCCTATAAAGTATTTATCTAGGACGCTTCGTTAAAAAGATACAGGGTGTTAAACTTCAAAAAATATTTTAAATTTTTTTAAATCATTTAAAAACTAGTGAGTGAAATAATTTGAAATTGGGCACATGTATGTATGTAAACATTGTCCAAAATCTGCGGGCTTTTCCTAAAATTTACATGCTCCAGTGGCGGAGATACAGGGTAACGGAGGCATATTTTTCTAAATAAAATAGTACGCCACNAGTGAAATAATTTGAAATTGGGCACATGTATGTATGTAAACATTGTCCAAAATCTGCGGGCTTTTCCTAAAATTTACATGCTCCAGTGGCGGAGATACAGGGTAACGGAGGCATATTTTTCTAAATAAAATAGTACGCCACTGCTTTACGGTAACAATCATTATATTTTCGGATTTGTTTTTCAATTTTCTACAAATTACTACTGTCTTAGATTTTCGACAAAATCCTGATTTTCGAGTAAAACTTAATTCGATATTCGAATCTAATACTTTTTAAAATTACATAGTGGGCTGCGATAGCAACGTTGACATTCTGAGCAGTTAGAAGAAAGAATAAATAATGCTTTCCATCAGATTCAAGCAACAATAAATTTCGAACAAATTACATTTTCGTTACTAAAAAGATGTCGGGCCTGTATTCGTGGAAATGGAGATATTTTTGAGTATTTACTCAAATAAAATCATTGAAATGATGACTAATGTTATTAATTTCTTTATTCGAATAAATAACCGAATTATTAGTGCGTCTCTTTTACTCGAAAATCAGGTTTTTTTCGAAAAGAATAAGAGAGTAGTAATTTGTAGAAAATTGAAAGACGAATCCGAAAATATCATGGTTGTTACCGTAAAGCAGTGGAGTACTACTTTATTTAGAAAAATATGCTACCGATACCCTGTATCTCCGCCACTGGAGTATGTAAATTTTAGGAAAAGCCCTCAGATTTTGGACAAAGTTTACATAAATACATGTGCCCAATTTCAAATTATTTCACTTACTAGTTTTTAAATTGTTTAAAAAAATTAAAAATATTTTTTGAAGTTTAACACCCTGTAGCGTCCTAGATAAATACTTTATAGGAAAGACTCCCTTTAAAAGTCGTCAAAGAATACGAGGTTTCATTTTTGATCACCGTTTGTGAGTCACCCTGTATATCGAAAAGGCAAATGTACATTTTGGGTGAATTAGATACACAAAAAGTAGTTTACTTGTATGTAATTTTATATTACCTATTGTGGCATCAAAATAATTATAATTTTACACAAAATTTTTATCGGTGTAAGTTTAGTTAAGCCTGCTTATTTTGATCGCAGGAAACCGTGGAAACTGCATGCACGCGGAATATTGGCACACCCTGTTTATATCATTTCTTTAAATTTCTACACCTATAACTATTATTAATTATTTATTACGTTATTAATTATTATTAAGTGATCTTTATTTTTTTGATACGTTCTAGTGTTATACCCTGTGTTATAAATACATATATACAAAATGTATAGTTATATTTAAAACACAAATCAATGATTACGAGAGTAACAGTACCGAAAAGTTCTCTAGTTACAGACACAGAATCGACGTGGATCCCCGACGGATAATTGACACACGTAAGACCGAGATATTGAGAAATTTATTTTATTAAATATGTGATAAATATCAGCTCTCAATAAATATTTGTTTGTCCTTTAATTTAACGCTTAATCGCATATCTACGCCAATTACGTAGGTGCAATCAGCGGGCTTAGTATTTTAAGGACTTTTATTTATACATTATTATTTTAATAAAAATACGTTCATTAAAAAAAAAATAACGATAAATCATTAATTTCTCACTTTTAATCCACCTTAAACATGTTTACTATCGAAAGTGAGACCCAGTAATAATATATTTTTGGAGCGCGCGATTGGAATGATTTTTTTTAATGTTTTCCTTTTAAAATTCGCTATAGAAAAAATCTAGCACAATAAGTAACTATAAGTTATGAAATGATATAAAATAGTTATATCATTATTGAAAAATCTATATTGTTACTGTCAGTAATCATTGTTTGTGTCCGTGGTGTGTGTACAAAACCTTTTATCTGCTCCCACTATAGTAAATAGACTATTACATACATTGTTTTTATGGAGGTAAGTGGATTTTACCGTAGAAGTGGTACTATTAGAACCTGGAGCTGAAGTGTCATTGTAAAGAATCCTGTTGGCTATTTCATTTTTGTTACTTAAACTGTCAGCAACATAACTTTCTGCAATTGTGGCTGATTTCCACCCACCATGTCTCTTGATTGCTAATACATCAATTCCTGTATTAGCCAGTAACGTTGCCGATGTTCTTCGGAATGAATGGCCTGTATATGTTTCAGGATGTTCTAGTTTCCAAAAACATTAAGAAATGTCAAAAAATAAAACCTAATATTTGTTTCATGAGTCATGAAGAACTGTGGGAGCAGATAAAACGTTATACACCACGCAGCATGGTGTAAATAACTATTTGGCATTTATTTTAGGGACCCCACATATGTGTTTTATTAATTTTTTTTCTTACTTTCCGTTTCTACTTTCCTACAAAACGGCTCCTGCTTCTGGTAGTCCCCATCGCATTTTTTGTAATACTGGCTCTTTGTGTCGTTCACCTTCAGGTCCTCACATCCAGGATGCTCCACCGAGTTGCACTGGAAGCACTCGATGGTGAGACCTTAAAAAAATTCGAATATCAACTAAAGTTAAACACTCAACCGTGTATTAAACAATGTTTTTTCAGAACTCGTTTATTTGACATGTATACAGTCTGTTTGATTATATAAGTGCCGAGCTCGGGCTACCCATTTTTGGACACCCTGTAACGTATATAAATACATATTTTTAAATTGTGTATTATTTTCTTTATACTGATGCACAATTTTTCTTTTCTTCACACTGTAAATGAGTGGTGACGTCATAGATATTTTTTTTAAATGAGATTGTATATATGTTTTTGCAGGTCTTGATAGATTTTTTTATTTTCTTTCCAACCATATGAAATTTGTATACCTTTGCATCAGTTGAGACTGTTGAGAGACAGAATTAGTACTGTAATAAATAATATTCCACATAACGTTAAATTAAATGTAGTTAGAAGTGTAATTCGAAGATGCGAATTACGTATCGAAATAGATGGACAACAGTTTGAACAGTACTTTTAAATTTCACTATTCATTTTACATTTTTTGTTTGCATTTAATATTGTTTGTACAATTTTTTGTTTATTAATCTTGTTATTGTTACATACATATTATTTTTCCTGTACCTTAACTGTCTTAGATTTGCTTTAAGTTTACTAAACTACTAAAATAGCTACATCGTTTTTTCTGCAATCGTAATAAACCCGCAGTATATCAACTAATTCATTAAAATCATTCATTTTGTTATAAGTTGATAGGTGAGAGCAATTCAAACAAATCGATATGTGACAGATGGCAGTATGCAAAATTGTTTCTCCAGCGCCTTCTATTTGATACGAGTTAGAAAGCGAGCACCGCAAATGTCAAAGGCTGAAAGTTTTCTCACTTTTTCTCAAAAATTTCGTTATTCAAAAGCATACAAATTTTATATGGTCGGAAAGAATATAAAAAAATATCTATGATGTAGATGAGTGGTGTCGACTCATCTACAGTGTGACAAAAAAAATTGTGCGGTGGCAGTATAAATAAAATAACATCCCATTTAAAAATATATATGTATACGGGTGTCAAAAAACTACTAACCGGACTAACATAACTCTGCAGTTATGTTAGTCCGGTCTAAGTTATAAGTCTGTCATAGTAGACCAGTGCTTAGGCCTTCAAAAATGGTAAAAAGTGAAAAAAAATTATAGTAGGATGAAACCCATTGGAAAAGGAAGAGAATATAACAGAAATGAAAAGAAACATAATTTACGGGCGATCTGAGATCGGGAAGGGGAAGGGGGTGAGTTTTTAAGGGTAAAAAACGGTTTATCTTGATTCCCGGAAAAACTACAAGTCTTATGGAAAAAAGTTAACTGGCAAAGTTGTAGGTAATAAAAAGATCTACAACTTTTGTATTTACACTTTTTTCACATAACCTCAAAATTTATGTGAAAAATTCAAATAACCAAGTTTTTGGTTTTTTATTTTTATCTTTTACAAACAAATTTTTTTTTCACGAAATTTGGTGAAAACTTACCTATTTATGTCCCCAAACACGCTGTAATTTTTTTGATTTGAAATATTTATTTTTTCATCTTATTTTTACTAATATTGAAAAAGCACCCTAATTTTCAATCGAAAATTCTCACGTCAAAATATCTGCTTTTTTAAAAACGTCGGTGGGCTTTTTCTTCGTTGAAATCTCTACTTTCTGATGGTGTAAAAAATATATACATTACTACGGTAAGTTTTCTCAGGAAATGCAAAGAAACGAACTTGAATCCGAAAATTTTTTTCTAATCATTATGTACAATTTTGAGCTATTTATTAAAATTTACACTTTAATTACTCGAAAAACGTAAGATTCCATGTTACATTGATAAACAAAAAAATTACAAGTCGAAATATACTATTATAATTAACAACCAAATAAGTTAATAAAGTTAATATTTAATAAGACATCTACAATATTTTGAGAAAGTTGTAGAATCGTTTCTTTGCATTTCCTGAGAAAACTTACCATAGTAATGTATATATTTTTTTTACCATCAGAAAGTAGAGATTTCAACGAAGAAAAAGCCCACCGACGTTTTTAAAAAAGCAGATATTTTGAAGTGAGAATTTTCGATTGAAAATTAGGGTGCTTTTTCGATATTAAGTAAAAATAAGGTGAAAAAATAAATATTTCAAATCAAAAAAATTACAGCGTGTTTGGGACATAAATAGGTAAGTTTTCACCAAATTTCGTGAAGACAAAATTTTTTTTTGTAAAAGATAAAAATAAAAAACCAACAACTTGGTTATTTGAATTTTTCACATAAATTTTGAGGTTATGTGAAAAAAGTGTAAATACAAAAGTTGTAGATCTTTTTATTACAACAACTTTGTCATTTAACTTTTTTCCATAAGACTTGTAGTTTTTCTGGAAATCAAGGGAAACTGTTTTTTACCCTTAAAAACTCACCCCCTACCCCTTCCCGACCTCAGATCGCCCGTAAATTATTTTTCCTTTTATTTTTGTTATATTATCTTTCTTTTCCAATGGGTTTCATCCTACTATAATTTTTTTTGGTTTCAAAAATTATCGACCCTGGTCTATAGTTTGTGGTTTGCTATTATCATTATTTTTATTCTAAAATAACATATTCTTTAAATTAGTCAACATGACAAAAGGTGCCACAAAGTAGCGCCAATCCCATGACCAATTTATTGACACAAGAATTTGTAAACACAAAACCGATTTAAATAATTTGTCAACTGACGATAAATCACTTCAATCGTTCTGTTTTTAAGAAAATTGAGGACTAGTTCCTAAAAGCTCTTTCTGATGACAAAAAAGATACATTATCTTAAGACGCGATACATATGCCACTTGAAATTATTTTCTCGTATTCCAGCTGTGACTGTGTGACTAATTTTTTAAAGAGCGACTTACCCAAACTGAATAGTGAAAGGAAAATTGCTGAGTGAACTACATAGTTGAGGTTTGTGCTGGTGGTCATCTCGTACCTGTAAAATATACATTATTTTTTTAAAATAATATTTAATGGGGTGATGTCACGTTAAACTTTCGTTTAATAAATATCTAGAAATATTTTTCACGCCTTTGTCTCGAACTTATCCCCAATAAATTCGACTGCATGTTTCTTATCGCGGTTGAGTCACATCCCTCCGTTTATTATTTTTAGATTTTTCGAGCTGATTATTTCCAAATAATCCTCGCATCAAAAGCAGTCTTATCTCGGGTATTAAGCGAAATAAATAATGATATTGGTTTAGTTAATCAATATTAATCATCTGCACTTAAAATTAAAAAAACACCTTTTATATACCACTAATGTTTTGTTTGCCTCAGCAATACTTATTTTCGCGGATTTTAAAAGTTTACGCGTACATATCTTTTACCTTTGGTTTAATTAATTTAATAATACGTAAATGAATATATTTTGTATATTTCACGTTTCTCATGAATTCTTTTAAAATGTTGCAGTCGCTGATGACGAGCATCGGTTATTTATAACAAAAAGCACACTGTGAATTTCGTATAATAAGTAGAAAGAAACTTAAAAAATAATCATTACATCTTTACTGGAGCATTTGTACAAGAAACATCCTTACCTGTAGAAAAAAAAAATCTAGAGTAAGACTGTAGAAATATAATAGATAATAATCCGTTGGAATTTTAAAGAAGTTACAAATAAAATTTAAATACAATATATATCATTTTATCTAATGTTATTGACCATTACAACTTGTTTAGTCAACTTGTAGTATGCTTGTTAAAATTAGTTAAATATCATTGGGATGATAAGACATGACCTTTTCTAAGAAATAGATTGTATAAATTTATTCAGGAGAGTTGAATTAGTCCACAAAATTTTTAATTTTTTGTTATTCAAAGATTTGTTAGTCAATAATTTTCTTATATTTGTGTTAACCTTAGAAAAACCAAATTTAACTGTGTATATCTGCGTTTTTTTTTAATGTATAAAAAAATTAACTTTTATTAAACTGTTTGTGTCTCAAGAAAAAGTATTTATATAACAAAACCATATTTATTTTGAAAATTTTTGAGTCTGGCGTTTCTGTTTCACCCTGTATAGATTGGTAGGAAATTACAAAAAATGTTCCTTTCACATACAACGGTATGAATCTACTACAATTTTTGTCAGTGTTATTCTCAAAACACATTTTTTACTATAAATGTAATGAATATACAGGCTTTTAACGTGTCTAATTTTTTGGTATTCTATTTACATACACAGGTGTGAATCTACAAGATATTGCATAAATGTTTTGGCAATGTTTTTTTCTGGTCTACCTATTAGTTTCTAAAATACGCATTTTTTGCATAACTACAAGTTTTTAACAGTTTTCAAACTTTTCGTATTTTTTTCACACACATGGGTATGAATCTATTAGAACTGTTTAAAATAAGACATAAAAATCTATTTTCTTAATTTTATAAACACATTTGTTGTGTATAAATGCAACAAATATAAAGGATTCTAAGAGTTTTTAATTTTTTGTTGCTCTATTTACAAACATAGATCTGAATCTACAAAATATGTATTTTTTAAACCTTTTTTTTGGACTAGTAGTAGTTCTCAAAATACATACGTATTTTTTGCTCAAATATAACAAAATTACAGCTCTTTAACAATTCTTAATCTTCTCTTGGTCTACTTATGCATTTGGGTATGAATCTTTTGTGTTTGTTTTTATATAAATGTATCTATTAGAACTGTTTAAAACAAGACTTAAAAAAACAATTTATTATAAACACATTTATTGTAAAATAAATGTAACAAATATACAGGACTTTAACAGTTTTTAATTTTTTGTTTCTCTATTTACAAGTACAGATCTGAATCTATAAAATACTTTTTAAACGTTTTGGTTCGTTTTTGTTGGTCTATTCGTTTTCAAAATACGTATTTTTTGGATATAAAAGTAACAGAATTACAGCTCGTTAACAATTCTTAATAATTTCAAGTTCTACTTTTGCTTACAGGTATGAATCTATTAGAATTATTAAAAAAAAAGTGAAAACTCTATTTTTGCAAACCGTTTTTTCAGGTTTATTAATTTTAAAAACACATTTTTTGCGATGTAGATATAATGAATATACCGGTTTCTAATAATTCAAATTTTTATTGTTATATTTACATACACAGGTATGAATCTACAAGACATTTTTCAAATATTTTTTCCCGGTCTATTAATTTTCAGTATACATATGTTTTACATATAAATGTGGCAATTTTACAGTTTTTTTTAACAGTGCTCAATCTTTGTACGTGTATGAATCTATTGAAATTGGTCAAAAAACACATGAAATATATGTATTTTTGTAAAAATTGTTTCCAGTTGATTGGTTTTAAACCATATATTTTTTGGGAGAAATGTAAAATTATAATACAAGTTTCTAAATTATTCCATTTTATAAATATTCTTTTCACACACATTTTTTTTACATATAAATATAAAAAATATAAAATATTTTTTAATAATTTATAAATCTCCAAGATATTTTTTAAATATTTTGGCAATTTTTTTGGTCTATTAGTTTTCAAACTATATATTTTTACATACTTGTATGAATAAATGTAACAAAATTCATATTAGGTACTTTTAAAATGGCATTAAACTTTTTCGAGATAAAAATAATTATTTGTAAACGGCAAATATTTTAGTTTAATTTAAATCATTAAAATAAACCTCCTTTTGCCTCCAAAGATATATTTAATTCGTCAAATACAAAGAAATGATTTAAATTTTATTTCTCCCAGTAAAATTCTTTTCTCGGTGTAGGCATCTTAGCACCGAAGTTTACAAAAAAAAAAAACGAGAAAAAGCAAAATTGACGAACTTATGGCATGGTTTGAGCGTAATTTATTTGGGATTTAATAAAATTTAACCAAGAAATTAATTAAAAAACGACTTAGATAGTTAAACCAGCGAATTCACCATTTTATATAACAAACTGGCACTTACCTGTGTTGTTTACCGATAAATCTTCCTCACACTTAACACCGCTAACTTCTTCCGTATGGACCTAGGAAATTCTTACCACTGACAAACTCTTCGAATAACTTCTTATCGTCTGCGACTGATAACAAGGGTCAGGTCAGTCTCTGCCGCAATCTTCCGACGTCTACCACGAGCCCAAGTGTGATTGTCGCTCCATTAACAACATTTTGAAAACTTCGACCTCTCTCAGGGTTCACTCAGTCTAAACCATCTCCGTGATCAATCGGTGAGGGTTGAAAAAAATTAGAAAGGGTATAGTAATACGATCGACAGTATTGCTGGAGCGAAAATGCCTAGACTGACCTTTTACCAGGATATTTCCTCTGGGTATCGATCTGTCCAAGCGAAAATAAATAGTTTCAGGATAATTTAATGTTTGCTTTTTGTGCTAGAACAAACATTTTACCCTGATGAGTGTTTACTAGAATGTGTCTCCAAAGGATGGCGTTTTGATAGGAAATTTGTTTATTGTTGATTTTTCGAGAAAAGCAAAATGTGATTATTCTTCTTTTTTGACTAAACAACGTATTTAATAAACTGTTGAGTTCTCGAACAACTTTGTTAAATATAGTTTTTAACGAAAACGAAAATTAAAAGTACTTTGCCTGGGGGAAACTTCACATTTTGAAATTTTTTGGACGCCTTGCATGTTTTGATACAGATTTGATTACTACCCATGGCTTCCCAAGATAAGCAAAACTTTTTATCAACAATAACTTTTTCTGGAAAAATCGCACGGATTCCTATGACTTACTTTATCGCTCTCACGTAACAGCTGATGAACCATGGGGACTTTCCGACCCTGTATACTACAAACAGTTATAAATGTGTTTTTAATTCGGTAAGTAAATATTTATTTTCTTTTCTACCTAGTTTCGACTACTATTTTCCTTCTTTTACTTCTTTATTGAAAGCTTCGTTTCAAAATTAGGTTTTAGGAATTAAGAATAACTAGTAAAATCTAAAGATCTCAGTATGATCTCATGCGGGTGTACTTTGATGCAACATTATGACATTTTCGTCGAATATTTTATATAAGGTCGATATTTATCATCAGCTGTAAAGATAAAATTATTTTTGAAAACTCGGTTTCACAATTTTTCATAAAAGTAATTACTGTTTACAATAGTGATCAACAAATGAGAAAGCTGATGTTGAAAGAAGAATATCTCATAATCCCATAAAGTTTTATTACCTATTAGTTATACTTCCTTAGTATGCTTTGGCAGGTACTAAGTCTAGACAATTTTGTAGAAAAAAATGTACGTAGAAGTAATTTATATTTGTTTTATCAAATTTAGATACTTACCACATAAAAAACGCATTTGTTGCAACAAGAATATATTTATCTGCTGTTAAAATCATGTAAAAATCATTTAATTTATTTTGGTATGTTGTAATATCACTTAGGGTTCTTTGTAGGGTTGCCAGATTTCGTGAAAACAAATTCGGGACGCTTGGTCGCCACTAGAATGCTCGTGCGGTACCTACGATTTTTCTAGGTACCGGTTTTTCTCATTCCGATACTCGATATTTTGTACCGGTATTGCAACTTACGACGATACAATACGATCCGCGACATATTCTGGCAATACCTATCAACAGTGAAGTGAACCTTAAAGCATGCAATCTAGTGGTGGTAAATAGATAATATAACGAGCGTTCAAATAAAAACGTGGTCGAAGTTGGCTCTGACACATTGGACGTAGGGAGTAGCTTATAGCGACCAACTTAACCTCATTTCTCAACGAGCTGTATAACAGTTGTCAGTTTCAATAACGTTAATGACTATATAACTTTATTTTAAAGAATAATCGTGATAACAATAACAAACAATTAAAGGAGCTGCGGAAAGTGTCCCCCTCCTTGTTATAACAATAAATTAAAGCAGCTGCTGAAAGTGTCCCCCTCCTTGTTTCAAGCACTTTTCACACCTGTTCCTCAAAGAATTAAAGACATTTTCTAAGATGCTCGGGGTATTGTTAATTTCACGAATCTTTTCTATAAGTTGAGCCTGCAGATGGTTTAAATCAGGAATAGGCAGTTCAAAAATAGTGTTTTTAAGGTAAGGCCACAAAAAAAAATCACACGGCGTAATACCACATGACCTCGGTGGAAATTCATGTTCAGCATTGAGACTTATTAGTCGATTTTGGAAAACTTCCCTCAACATATTCATCGTCTCGCCTGCCGTATGTGCCCTTGCGCCATCTTGTTGAAAGTAAAAGTTTGTAATTTCGTTTTCTTCCATCAGCTGGTTAACAAAAGGAGCGATAATTTCTTCTCTATACCTTTGTACAGTAAGAGTACCATTAAAAAAAATAGGTCCATAAATCCGCCTTCGATTGAGAGCACACCAAACTCCAATTTTTTGAGCGTGTAGAGGGCCCTCGACAAAAAAGTTATCTAGTGTTTCAGAAGATCACATTCTCATATTCTGTGAGTTTACGTAACCACTTAAATGAAACTAGGCTTCATCAGAAAAAAAGGTGATATTATGAAGTTCACCGTAGTTGTTTAAAAACCATTCACAAGATACAGCCCGTCGCGGAAAATCAACTTCATGAAGTTCTTGCTGCTGACAAGTTAAACGATAGGAGAACAAACGCAAATCTTTTTTTAACACTGTGTGGCAGGTACCGACTGATACTCCCACCATTTGTGATAAAACACGTACAGAAGTTCTTGGCGCATTTTCCATTATTTGTTGGACATTTTCTTTTAATTCTTCAGTCAGCTTTTTAGGTCGGCCGCTTCCTTCTTTTCTTGTTACCTAGAAATTCTCAAGAAATATATCAAGATTAGATTGGAAATTAAAACTGAAATTTCACGCTTTTTTATGCGCTATCAATTCGCGCCATTCATTCCGAAGAACATCGGCAACGTTACTGGTTAATACAGGAGTTGATGTATTCGCAATCAAGAGACATGGTGGATGGAAATCAGCCGCAATTGCAGAAAGTTATGTTGCTGACAGTTTAAGCAACAAAAATGAAATAGCCAACAGGATTCTTTACAATGACACTTCAACTCCAGGTTTTAGTAGTACGTCGCATCGTGCTGTTTTAGTGGAACAGTCAGATAATTTTGAGCCTCCGATGAGTGAAATGGAGTGGTCAAATCCTTTTAAGAAAAATGTGACAATTAGTAAACGCGAGGGGAATAATTATCCAGATTTTATAAATGTTACTAAATGTAATAACTGTACAATTACTATAAATATTCATTCATAATAATTAAAAAAATTTAACGTTCATCAAATAATATTTCTATTTTTCCCTAGGGAGGCTTCCACTTCTACGGTAAAATCCACTAACCTCCTGAAAAATAATGTATTAATAGTCTATTTATTATGGTGGGAGCAGATAAAAGAAATTTATCCATGAAGTGAAAAGCTCGCGTGTTTTTTGGCAAAATAAAAACGATAAAATACGTGAACAAAAATAAATATCTTTACTTTATAGGCCACTCTAATTTTGAAGAAACGTCCTGGTTCCTTGTGGGTCACACAGTATGTATAGTTAAGTTAAATGCGATTTTAATTCAACCCAATTTATTTGCGTGCAGGTAATACACTCCGATAACATAAATGTCAAATAACCTTGAACCTCTGTTCTGGGTTAATGCATATTTGTTTTTTTTTTTGACATTTAATCTCTAGGGGACTAAGACTGAAAATATATTGTTTCCAGAAATTAGAGACTGAAACAGCACATTGCTCGTGGTTATTATAATATTATGGTTTAATTTTATGAGTGATAATATTTGAATCTGATTCATCAGTTCCTTTTCTTAAGTGTATGACTGTATGATATTGTAACATCGTTATAGATAAAATTTATTTTACACTAATTTTTTTAGGAGTACTTCTAGTTTGGAAGATATTGTTGTCGAACGTCGCTTCGCCAGTGGGACATCCACGACGACTGACATATTTACATAAGATCATCGATAACGATAAATATCAGCGAGAATAATGTATTCGCCAAATCGATTCAGCAGGTGTATGGAAATATCTATTTATTATAGCAGCACTTTAGAATTTGGCTGTCGAACTTTATCGGGCATTTCTGTAGGTGTAATAGTTTTCGCACAATTCTATTTGTTTATAACGGAGGCTCCAAAAGTTACGAACTTTAAGCCTCTGTACAGGCGTTAATTTTCAACCAAACATGATTCTGAAAGCGACATTGTAATCTTAAAGACGTAATTAAGCGAACTATTAAAAAATATCACCGTTTTTTTGACATTAACATTCTCAAATTGTGCATTTCGCTTATAAACAATTTGAATAACATTGTTGCTATTTAAGCTAACTCACCGAAAATAGATGGAATGGATAGCTGGCAAAAAATACAGTTTTAAAATAAAACAGTACCCTCTACGACCAACAGGAGCCAAGATAAGATTTTTTTTTTAAATCGTAGCGCAATTGTTTATAAATATTAAGACTTGAATTTTTCACAAAATAAAGTTTACGACGTGAACTACGATTTCCCGTGAATTGCATTGAAAAATGTGGAAAATTAACGACTCACGAGTTCTTTAAAGAGAAGGTACTCGCTAAGTAAACTGTCCGGCGGCCGGCGGCGTGGTGGTGGGGGAAGCTCGTCCAAGTTAATTCCAAATCAAATTGATGCGCGCTGTAAATTTTGCAATATCTCGGCTTCTATTGATCGTAGAAACTTATTTTTTTTAACCGGGGTAGCTCGACGAAAAAATAACAATGGGCATATTTACGAATTCGTAGAATAGCCCTGAACCCCAGAAAAAATGCATCTTTTATACTTAATTTCTTTTAATTTACAAAAATGTCACAACAATTATTGTTAAACGAAATATTAATTAAAATTTCAATTTCGGAATTATTTTACTATTATTAATAAATAAATGAAGCTATCGTTCATTTAAAAAATTATTCTTTTTACAAATTAAGGCAAAGTAAACTTGTTTTTTCAATATTTTGTTAGCTATTTAATAACGATTTAAATGTAAAATTAACCTACAGTGCCCAATTTTCATACACTTTTGAAGTATGACAAAATCCTCAACTAGTCATAGGTTTTATAAAATTTTAACAATAAATGAGATAGTTATAAACAAATTAAAAAATTTTGCAATAACTTTTTTGTTTATTACCCGATTTTAATTTAACAAGTCTCATTTTGTAGATAATTTTACTCCCTACAAGCTGTCTGAGAGTCACTTTTCGCTAAAATTGATGGTTTTCCTTGCAAAGTGAAAAAACTGTTTTCCTCACTTATTTGTTTAAATAGAAAAGTTAGCTAATAAAATTTTTTGACTCACGAGATATGAGAGATGTCTTGTATTATATTCCTTTAGACAATTTTACAATAATCTCGCGTATAGAACTTTTTTCGAGTTTCTCTTTTATTTTCGCTAATTTTCCTGGTCTAATACAGTAATGGGAGATTCTGGAGTCAAAATTGGCAGATCTGACCCAACTTACCTTATCTAAAAAGTATAAAGGACCAATTTTAACCGTGTACAGTGCGGTTTTGTGAGCGGGGTTAACTCAGACGCAAACTTATTCGTGTCGGTCTGTACAAGAAAACTCGAGAAATGCCCGATTTCTTCCTTGAATAAAACTAGTAGTTTTCGGGGAACATGTTTAATGTCTGGATTTTGTACAAATATGACAAAAGAAATACGCAACAACCCTACGAGTTACTTTTATAAAAAATGTAAAATGGACGACCTAAAAGGCGCTTTAATATCATCATTATTGCACAGCGTAGCGCCACAGGTTAAGCCAGATATTTCACTCAGGACTGACCCCTGTTCTGGGTGAAAAAAAAAACACAACGGTCAATTTTGAGAATCGAACATAAGTATATTTTTACACACTGTAGCATATAAAAAGGTTTGGCTAGCACAGGAGTCTAAATCTATGAAGCGTTTTGTTAAAACAGACCATGAAGATAACAATAAAAAAAGGAAATTTGTTGCTTCCTATAATAATTATATAGGGCGTTGTTTACTTTTATGTCGTAATTTCAGGAAATTTTATATTTTGGGAACCAAAAAGCATTAATCATGCCCATTGACGTTTCAAGTGACATATCGTTATCCGCTTCACACGTTATCCGCTTCACAAGAAAATCTGAACTAAAGCCACTGGTTTTTGAGACACAAGGTCCTGATTAATAAAATATCTCTAAGGGCGTTCGATTTGAATTGACGAAAGTTGAGCTAGTGGTATAATTAATTCAATTAAATTAATTATAAAACTAATTCACTGAATCTATCAACCAACGACGGAGATGGGAGGTACTGTCACTAAAGGGTCCTAGAATTTTGAAACTCTGAGTATTTCCAAAATTGGGTTCAATCTGTTTCAGTGATGTGAAAGATGTGTTACAAATTATTCTGTGACCTTGGAACTTTGTTGGCTACAAATTCTAAAAGATGAAGTAAGTAATAATGGAACAAACATACATTTTAATTTAAAATGTGAAAAATAATTAAAATCGAAAAGTCAGAAGACGAAAACATAGATTTTTGAAGTGCAATTTGTATTTGTCTGATTTTTCAGTGTGAAATTTTTGATTAGGCAAAACTGTTTTCCAAAAATAACCCTTCACTGGTCTTTTTGACACAAGGACTTATTAGATTAATTTTAAATTTTTTTCACAGGTGCAAAAAACGAAATCATGCTATAAATAAATAATTTTAGTCAATATCTTGGGACTGGTTTTGAAATTTTCTCATAATGACATCACAACGCATATTTTAATTATGTTTAGGACTTAGATGAGGTCAAAGTGGAAAAAATATGTCTCTAAAACTGTTTGTTAAAGCGTTGGAGATTTTTTTGTTCGACGGATGATTTTAAGTAACAATCCACGTAGAACTTTTACTTTTTTTTTTAGGAGGCAGCTATTCCTCAAATAAATAAAAATATCTTATCATTTTGCGCTTTTAATGTTGTACCCAGTGGCGGCACTTCCATACCAGGGAAGGCGGAAAAATTTAGGTTCAAAGTATCGAAAAAAAAAATTGAATATAATTGTACGGTTTTATTTTAAGTACTATTGAAATATAGGGAAAATATGTTCAACATAATTTTTTTTTAGTGAAAGCAAGTCCACTCTTGTGCTTTTGTCCGAAATAAAGTTTTCAATTCCAATTTATTCATTAAAGCTTGATATTTCTAGTACCATTGATTTTTTAATGACTTTACTGTTAGTCTGTCTTTACAATCAACTTAAACTTTTACAATCTTTTAAAAAACACACAAGAAGCAATACGTTAAGTAACACAATTTCACGCACCAACACCTGAACAAATTACTTTTAATAAGAAAAAAAAAAGCTTGAATAGTATTTGGTTACGGTGCGGTGTCTCAATACTGCGCGACTGTAACCATGAGCACCGCTGTAAACACTTTACAGATGTAGGAGCGAGCTAAGAGGAACCCAAGTATTTAGAGTTTTTCAAATGAATTTTGTAAGCCGAGATAAATTGACTGCACAGTGAAAATTTCTAGGGGGGAGCCGCCCCAGAGCCCCCCGCAGCAGCCGTCACTGGTTGTACTGCATTTAAAATTCCTGTACATTTTTTTTGCGAAATAATTAGTTTCAGAATTATTTTATATTTAAAAAGATAATAACCACAAAGTGGCTTATTTCATAATAAAGCGGGCGACCTTTTTCTTTATCAAAATTACTGTTGTCATTTAAGTGTATTTAATCGCTTTTCCAAAGTACTCAGTGGCGTCGAAATTACGAGATTCTTAACGACGTAGCTCCCCCCAGTTCCTCCGCCTATGGTTGACAAATTTGTAAGCCAACTCCGTGCATATTTGTCTTTAATTGAGAATTAATTATTAACAATAGTTCGTTTGTTTACATCAAGCATGTTCGGAGATATCTGAATACAAATATTTCCGAACACGTACCTGAATATTTCGTCAGTCTGAAAATAACCCTTAGGAAAGTTGTTGGGTTCGGAAGGGGATATCGGAGGGCGTCCTTCAATTCGACCTTAACAAAAAGAAGGTCTTTAAGTACCTATCTAAACGTAAACGAATGTATCTATCTACACGTAAACGAGCTGTAAGAACCTACTTATCTAAACGTAAAATTTTGCGCTATTTTATTTAAAAAAAATTAAATTTGACCTTCAAATGATCTTGAAAGTCAGGGTCAACTCCAAGGTCACCATCCGATGTTCCCCTCCGAACCCAACAATTTTCGTAGGGTTATTTCCGGATTGGTGGCTTCTCCGAGGAGATATTCAGGTGAGTAATTTAAAATGGAACACTCTGTATATTCTATTGCCAATTATTTCTTAATTATCATGATTATTTAATTGACATTAATAAAATATATGATTATAATTATGTTAGTATGTTAGTAGTTACAAATTTTATTATAGATTTTTCAATTATTTCTTAAAAATAATTTTTTAATATTTTTAGTGAAGTTAGTTCATTTAATTTGTAATGTTTTTGTTGTTTTAATTTTAAATTTTATTTTATGCAGATATGAGTCATTAAGCGAAAAATTATAAAAAAAACAGTAAATAGCTGTTGCCAATGACAGAGATATTAGCCAAAAATCGGTTGTCATACGCTTCTGTGTAAGTGGAAAGGCACCTATCTCGATAAAAGCTAAAAAAAATCATTTCCAAATGAATATACAAGGTGCTTTATAACGAATAGGTCATACCGTAATAAGAGGTCTTGCTTACTTTAGTGTAAAGTTAATAATTACAAACGTACAACGGGTCAAAGATGAACAAAAATAATTTTCCAATCATTTTGACCAAATACGGGAGTTATTGTGACCTGGAATTCAAATTTGATTGGCATATTGCCATATTTCATAGGTAGCACTACGTTCGGCATGTAAAGAATCTTTCTTGGTTCTCTTTATATTAACTTTCTTCATACTTTTCTATGAATTAGAAATATTCATAGCTGATGTCACTAAGTATGAGCATCCATTTCTGAGAAAAAAGAGTTTTAACTGTGCAAGTAACAAGTAACCATTCAAAAAATCGCCATTTAGGCGTCCTAGAGACAAGTTTTATTGTCAATGATTTCAATTTCCTTGCTGTTAATATTCAGCTTTGTTAAAACCTAATTTGGAATAATAATTCTAAAGTAAATAAGGAACATTTAATAAAAACGCCTCGTCACAACTTACCAATACTGAAATGACACACATGATTTCGGTTTATCCTCAAAAAAAGTTATACAAAAACTTATTCCAACTGACGTCAACAGGAGAGAAAGTTATGTTTAGTTGTTACAAAGATTGCTCCCATAATCGAAATGGACGACCAGTCGTTCGAAGTTACGATTGAGCAAAACCCAAACATAAGTATCCGCCCAATAACACGAAATGTTGGAGTAAGGCTACATATTCTGTTCCATATGAAGAACAGTTTTATCCGTTTCGCTTTAGCCCAATACAAAATTTATTACAACATGACTTTATACCACGAGCACATTTTTGTGGAAATGTGATAAATCTTTAAGATCCAGATTTCGCTTCAAAGGTTTTGTTTGCGGATGAGGCAACTTTCACCAGAAAAGGTGCATTCAATGTTAAAAATTCAAATGAAACTTGAATTCGGCATTTTCAACAGAACCTTAAGATGAACATTTGCTTCGGGATACTTGACAACCATTTAATTGGCCCTATTGGACTTCCTGAGAGACTTAACGCAGAACATAATTTGAACTTTCTTGGTAGGTAACGATTTATTCGAGTTATTGGAAGATGTACCACTGAATAGGGCCCCGAAGTTCTCAATCGCCTGAATACTGATTTTCCAACTGATGGTATAGACGAGGTGGCGACAATTCATGGCCAGCTCATGGCGAGGGTTTGAATCCTATTGATTTTTACTTTTGGGGCTACATCAACACCTTGTAAATACAGGGGTTGAATTAATACTAGGAATATGTTATGGTAAAAGAGTGCCATTGTTCGAAATATCCATCCTAACTTTTCGCCAGGAGAATTTTTTTAAAACGATGTAGAAAATTAATTGAAGTGAAGGGTAATCACTTCGAACATTTACTCAAACATGAACATTAAAAAGTTGGTACCAATAGTCATGTGCATCAACACGTGGTAATATTTTCTTAGGTACCTACTCTTCTTATTCTTTTTTAAAATTGTTTTTCTTGATTTAATTCTTTGACCAAATTTGTTCCTGTATCTACCATGTGATTTTTTGTTCATCTTTGACTCCCTGTATGTTCGTTATTATTAATTTTTGCACTAAGGAAAGGTGCTGGGTTAGACCTGTCTATTTTGACTCCAAAAACCCCCCATTACGGTATTGCCCATCCTTTACAAAGCACTCTCTATATAAAATGTTTATAAATGGAGGGACGAATTAAAATACTTTGCATTTTTGTGGTTTAAATGCTAAAAGTCAATATTTTTAACCTATTTTCATTTTCTAACGTAGATAAAATGTAGGCGTGACACTGTGACACTAAAAAAATTATGCTATAAGGTTTAGGTTGGGACGAACTGGGACCAAAGTGAAATATCTGCTAATCGTCATAACCCGCGGTCGTGTTTATTTTTTCATTTGCGCTAAACTAAAGCCCAGAAACGGCTTGGTAGAAGACAAGGCAAATCAGAGTTAAGGCTGCGTTGAATTGGAATGACTTCAACGAGGAGTTGCAACCGTCCTTGTTACATTTGGAACAGTGGATCATCTTGTACATGCCAGTGCTCGTTTCGGCGACTTTCTTGCAGATGTCCAGGTTGCTGTGGAGCCCCAGCTGGCAACCTCGCAGCACGTACTTCTTGTTTCCCTCTGGAAAAAATAAAGGTTACAAAACTTAGCACATATTTAAAAAATCGATTTGTTTATTTTACAAAATTTACTCGCTGTCTGTTGAAATACAAACGTTTATAGCATAGCAAAGGACGGAAAAACTGCGCTATTTATCGACTGTTACTTGCCACAAACATTTACTGGAATCGGAATAAAGAGGGACTTGGGATTTATATGTATTTCCTACTGGTTAGATAAGAATCATTTACATAGTCAACGGAATACACACTCTGTTGGAGACTTGCCAAGTGTCAAGTTAACATATTAAGTCGAGCAAATGTTTTCCATCTGAAACGTGGTGGGTGTACAAATTTTTGGTTACACGACGGATGTAAAGTTTGATGAGAGTATTCTGCTTCCACCCTTATTTGTGTTTAAAGATTCAGGTACGAGTCTGTGACATAAAAGAAAATGACATATCGTTACGAAAATTGCTTTCTCCGGAGTTATAGGACGGTTTCCTATTTGTTTCATATTTTTTTTTCCAAATGATTTATGAAGAATATCTGAGAGGTTGTTCTATAGTTTCTTTTATTTTCAATGGTTTTGTGAAAGGGCAAGTTATAGAATAACGGTTTTACAAAACAATTGCAAACAAATATTTAAAAACGAAAAGTACTGCAAGAAATAAGAAAAAAGTTCGTATGAACATAAGTCCGTAAACGCTTCGGTTTCAGTACACAGGGTGTTGAAATTTTCGTGAGAATGAACGATATTGTTCATACAGGGTTTACCAATATTCTATGTACAAAAAAATGTTTTATTTTTCAAATAACTTGGAAACGCCTTGTAAGATTTTATTGGCATTTGGTACAACAATACTTCTATACATACAGGGTGTCTCACCAGGCACTCCATCGATGGATATCTGAGAAACCGCTCTAAGGATTTTTTTGAAATTGCGATGGTGTGATACGGACCGTGTGGCCTACTAAGCTAAACTATTTTCAAGGTCATCGTACTTCCGGTTATACCGGAAGTCGATACTAACTTTCTTATTTTAGATTGAACCCCCTGTATATTATTGCATTTTTGGAAAAAGCATTTGTTTTTAAGTTGAATACATAGATCACATTCTATACTTGACCGTTCCAGAGATATTTTGATTTTTAAGTAAAAATTGGCAGACACAGACTGTCAGCAAAATTTAGTTTTCCCGGAAACATAGGTTTATTTTTTTGTGCAAATTGGACATTTTGTAGAGGAAGACCTAATCTATCGAATTTGACATGAAAATTGTTCAGTTTTTATACAGGGTGGTCAAAAATAATAATAATAATACTCTTTATTATTCCAACAGGAAGAAATCCAATTACAGGAATAAGAAAACATAACAAAAGTACAATAATTACAATAATTTGTGATGCATGTACCTATATGTATATACACACTAAATAAATATATATAAATAAATGTACTGCTAATAGATAACAAAAAATTACAAAAAAAAACAAAAAAAATAACGTTCCAACAAACAAAATGTAATTTACAAAAAATACAAGTCAACAGAAAATTACGTTAAACGAGCCACCCAGCTACATACAGGGTGTCTCATAATTAGCTGCCAACCCTGAACATGCCGATTCTATGATCAAAACTAAGTAAAAAAGTTCATATGAACATGGGTCCGGAAATGCTTCCTAAGGGCACAGGGACCCATTGAAGAGGGAGGAATGGAAATCATTTTTTTGCAATATCTCTCAATCGCGTTGTGATAAATGAATGAAATTTGGTATACACAGCTAAATTTTGATGAGCAATTTGATGGACTAATGTATTTATTTCCATAAGGTCCATTGGGGTGGGTACGGGGGGCCCTTGGTACTTTGCGTGTGTAACTTTTTCATCTTTGACTTTTTAACAAATTGGACAGCAAATTCCGTTTTCCCGACCCGTTTTACGTTAAAGAGGTACTCTTGTTTCAAATCGTTATCTTTAACGGTTTCTGAGAAAATCGCTCTTGAATTAATCCCACTTTGGTCAATTTCATAGTAATTTAAATAAAAAATAATAATAATAATTTTACTTTCCTCTCTTTTCCATTTAAAGGATTAATTTTTATTTAATTTAATTTTTTATTATTTTTTTTTTAATTAAAATTAGATTAAATTTAAACAAAAAAATTTTTTTTGTTTAAATTACTATGAAATTGACCAAAGTGGGATTAATTCAAGAGCGAATTTCTCAGAAACCGTTAAAGATAACGATTTGAAACAAGAGTACCTTTTTAACGTAAAACAGTTCGGGAAAACGGAATTTGCTGTCCAATTTGTTAAAAAGTCAAAGATGAAAAAGTTACACACGCAAAGTACCAAGGCCCCCCCCGTACCCACCCCAATGGACCTTGTGGAAATAAATACATTAGTCCATCAAATTTCACATCAAAATTTAGCTGTGTATACCAAATTTCATTCATTTATCACAACGCGATTGAGAGATATTGCAAAAAAATTATTTCCATTCCTCCCTCTTCAATGGGTCCCTGTGCCCTTAGGAAGCATTTCCGGACCCATGTTCATATGAACTTTTTTACTTAGTTTTGATCATAGAGTCGGCCTGTTCAGGGTTGGCAGCTAATTATGAAACACCCTGTATACTCTTTAATGCATCACTATGTATATCACAGTTAGGAGCAATTTTATTATAAAGCCCACACATCAATGAGATAGGAGACTTTATTAAAATGTTTGTACGAGGAACATCACAGTAAAACAGATCTTGCTATCTAGAATTCTCACGAGGTATCAAAAAATTTATTTTTTCTAAAAGTTCAGGACAATCAATATTGTTATTTAAGATGTTGTACAGAAAACGAGTCAACATAATATTACGTCTGGTTTCCAGTGAATCAAAATTAAATCTGTTAAGCAGTTGATTTTGGGGAAAATCTGGGAGGATAAGACCCATCTTGCAAATAAGATAAAAATGTAAAAAACTGTCTTTGAACTGATTCCAACCGCTGACAATGAACTTGATAAATTAGATACCATATCATCGAGCCATATTCCATTTTAGATCTCACAAGAGCACAAAACAGGGTTTTAAAAGTGCTTGTACTGGAAAAATCCGACAGTTACAATAAATAAAGCCATACGATTTAAAGACACCAGAAACAATATTATTGATATGATCAATAAAAGTAAGTATACTGTCAAAGTATATACCTAAATCCTTGAATACTATCACCAATGGAGTAGTTATAAATGGGAAAGCTAGTCTTGCGAGTGTAAGTTATTACATGGCATTTAGATGTATTAAGTTTCAGACGATTTATTTCACACCAAGAAGTCATTTGATTGATACATTCTTGAAGGCGAATATAATTTGAAGGAAATTTGATTTCATCCGCATATAACAAATGTTCACCAGTGATAATCTCTGGAAGATCGTTAATAAAAAATAAAAATAATATGGGACCCAAATTTGAGCCTTAAGGAACGCCTGATGTTGGAGAAAATGATTCTGAGGTAAAATTTTGATACCTGACCATAAAATATCTATCACTTAAGTAAGAAGTAAACAGTTTAATCAGAGCCTCAGAAAATCCAAAACTTCCCAGTTTGACGAGGAGTATATTGTGGTCTATCTGATCAAAAGCTTTTTGGAAGTCTACACTGACTTCGTCCACCTGCCCTCTATTATCCAAAACCTCAGAAACGTATTGAGTGAATACAGCTAAATTAGATGTTGTAGACTTCCTTTGCATAAAGCCATGCTGCCGTGGCGATTATCGAATATGAAGTTCAGAAAATGTAGAAAACTCGAAATTTTTAAATGGAAACCCCTAATTTTTTAACGTATTCGGTTTCTGCACTAAAATTAAGTGTAACTTTGTTAAAGTTTCCCTATACCTAAACCCAGTGGTTTTAATTTTATTTACGTATAAACATTTCCCTTTTCTTAAAATGATGTTTCCATTTGTTTAGCACATTTTAGGTTGGCGTGACAAATAAGTAACAATCAACTGTCACCGGTTTTCAATTGTAAAATTTATTTAGTTCTTTGTGGGTCGGTGCTCTAATAGAATCCGGTGATATCTGCTATTTTATTTGGGACACTGAAAAATAGTATATATAACAAAACTGTGCTCATAATTTAAACAAGGGTGATGCTATAGCTTCTACTTTTGTTTGTCTTAAAGATGAAAGATTTGTTAAAAATTCATACAAACACTTAAATTTTTAAAAATGTTGATTTTGCATAGGGTCTATGATCTCATTGAAAAGACTGTTTGAGTAATAAATATTTCGTGTTAGTTGAACATGAACATAATAAACATGTTATTAAATTACTGAAAATAAATAAATATTTTATTCAGTGAAGCCTTCGAAACCTGTTTAAAAAAAATGTACTCGAAACTATGAAGGAATAAGCGTTGCAAATTGTACCATTGTACAATTCCTCATTATTGGTTTTGGAGTACCTAAGTGAAACTTACGAAGAAATGTGGAATGGTTCAATGGCCATCTAGCTCGCCAGACCTGAAAAAGTACGACTTCTTTATCTTAAAAGTGTGTGCAGAATCGATTGAGGACTTTCAAGTACCAGAAGTCATTTTCGAAACAGAAATCTCCTAAAAATCATACATGTCGTTGTCGCTACCCTAGTATATTACAGGAGGAAAAGCAATAAGAAAACAATAAAAATCTCGATCTTAATCACTATTTAAGTGTTAAAAACAAATCGGATAGATAAATGTTTGTCAACTGGCTTATTGTTGTTAAGAAAATGTAACTGTTTAAAGATCGTAAAGCTAATATTTGCCAGAGATTAGTGGCTTCATTTATCGCGACCTAATTTAGAAGGTATGTGTCTGCTGAATTCTGCTTAGATACCGAGAGGTAAATAAACATTAGAGAGAACAAAAGTTGCAATTATTTTTCCATCAATCATCTCGCCTACAATGCACAGAGTGATTATAAGAATATTTTTATGAAAAAAATGTAGACGATAATTACTATCAGAAGTAATTAATAACG